CCCTCTGGGGATTTGGCCATAGGCTGGGTCACTCTCTTAACTGCTCCCACAAGACATGGTGTGAGGAGGCAGACTATCTCTTGAGTGCTTGCTCACCTGGGTGCTCCCATAGACATAGGAGGCAGTGAGAAATGTGAGATCACTCCAGTGGCTCCCAGGGCAAGCAGCTGTAGGTGGGATTGATGACCTAACTGCTTCTGTAGGACATGAGTGGAGGTGGTTACAAGGTGGTTTTGTGCAGCTGCAGCCTGACTGGGTGATGGTATATGGTGTTCTGGACTCCTCCTCGAGGGCAATTCAGTAATATGTCTTCCCCTTCCCCTAGCTGCTTTCCAAACTGGGCTCGGAGTCTGTGAATTCCTCAAGATTCCCTTATAGTTAAGACTTAAGGTGTCTGGGTTGTTAATAGGGGTTGCTGGAGATATTGCATGTGTCCCTTCCTCACCTTGAGACATCCTTTTTTGTTTCTGAGCTGTTCTCAACTGCAATCATGAGGCAGCAGACACAGGACGCTTTGCTCTCCCACCCCCTGCAATGCCATCCTGAGTCTCTGTACTCTGAGACACCTCCACCACATCCTCACTGTGCTCTAACACTCCCTCAACTGCTCCAGCTGAGTAACGGCTTCTTATTTTTTGTTTTGGCCCTTTTTAGTGGGAGAGAAGTGGTTTAGGCACCTCTACTCAGGCATTGTGCCAGAAATCCTGAGTCGTTGGTTTTTATTACCAAGTATTTCTTGTGAATTCACCCATTTTTTTATTAATGCCTTTTATCCAGAGCCCTGTTAAATCACAATTTTGCTAAGGATCAAACCACCCTAAACTCAGTGACATACAACAGTAAGCATTTTCTCATTCACGAGTCTATAGGTCAAATGAGGTTTGTCTGGTCTAGCTATAGGTACAATCCCAATTGCTCTAAGTGTCTCTCATCATCCTTGGAACAACAACTATCTAAAATTTGTTCTTCTTTTGGCAAAAGACAAGAGGGCAAGGGCAGAGACTAAGCACAAACATGCAGGTACATTACAAGCCTGTGCTCACATTGCCTTCAGCAATATCCCAGTAACCAGTCACCGGCAAACTCTAAAGCCAAGGAACAGGTTCCCTACCCACCATGTGGCCAGAGCAAGGGTTTGAGAGTATGTTAACAGTCAGGAGGAGTCAGGGGTTGGGAGCCAATAATTCATCTTCTACACCTTGATGTGGTAAGCTATTGCTGGAGTGTAGTCCTCTTTCTGATCAGTTGAGGGATATATCCTTTTGATCTTGCTATATTTTATAAAACCTTGATGAGTGATACAGCTCTTGTTACACTGTGGGCTACCTTAAGAAGACAAGACTTCCTCTTTAGAAAGTAAGTCCTTTAAGATTCAGTTGTGTGAAAAAGCAACTAAACTGTGAGTTTAGGAGAGAGGCATTCTGGAGAATTTCTCTGTATCCAGCCCATAGCAGCAGAAACTGCAAACTCTTACCATCTTGTGCACACTCAGGACCTAACTGAATTGAATTATTGTGTTACTTCCAAATCTCAGTGATTTTCTGGCCATTTATAGAAGCTATCAAATATAACCGATACTTCTAGTTTCAAGTAATACACTAGAGCAAAAGCACTGATTACTTTAAAAATATGATCATTTTTCTATGCATATCTCTCCTTGGCTATCAATAAGTAAACACTCAAAGTACTCTAAATTGTTGGGTTAAGTTTAGGAGACAGAAGCAAGCAATGGCTGAGCTGATTAACATGGTATGGATTAAAGTCATTCTTATGCTGTCATTCAACAGAATACAGGTCTTCAGAGGATAACTCCTTCTCCTAGCATAATACACTCATGTACTGCCCGAGGAAATAGAAGCTTAGGATTCTTCCTCATTCTCAGTACTTCTGAGGGAACCCCAGGAATATCCCAGGCAGAATGATTTCTCTGCATGACTGTTTTTTTCTGGGAATCTTCTTAAAGACTGAATAGCTTAAGAATTAGAAGCCTGAGCTCTGGAGTGTGTGACTGGGCTCAAACTTGGCTTCCTAACGGGGTAGCTACGTAACCCTGCGAAGATCATAAATTTTGCTTAACCCCTGCAGCAGTCATTGATGTTGACCAGAGATTTTCCTTTTTTATAAGAATTATTTAACTTTATTTATTTATTTTTTCAGTTTGATCAGATAGAGAGAAAGAGAAAGTGAGAGAGCAAGCCACCAGGTCCAGGACTGGAGCCATGATTGGCCGTGCGGGAGTCCAGCACCTTGAACCCCATGCTACCTGCAGGCCTCATGATCAGAGATTATTAATTCCCATCACTTCCTCACATGTAGAGGACTAAGCCCTCTGCTTCTGTTGTAGTTTGGTGGCACCATGTTACTACTGACCAAAAAACTGTTAGCAAACGTGTTTGTGTGTGTGTGTGTGTGTGTGTGTGTGTACATACATACATCTTCTGGGCTATACCATTTAATATCTAGTGAGAGACTCTCCAGAATTCTCTCTTGTTCCTCTGATACAGTGACCAGCAATGTTCAAGATGGTAACTTCCCCATCAGTCTAGGCCCAGAGTTACTCCCATAAACAATCTTCCTGTTGACTGTTTATTTCTCTGTCATGTTACATGTTACATGACAGAGAAATAAACTTGGTATATTAAGCCACTGACACATTGGGGGCTATTCGCTACCACAGTTTAACCTAGTCAACCCTGATTTATATACCTCATTAAATCTTAGTTTCTTTATCTGGAAGAATCAGAAAGATAATTCAATCTAATGAAATTATAAGGATTAAATAGGATTGTGTGTGTGTGTGTAAAATACTTGATACCCAGCACCTAATAAATTTTAATAAATATATTGCTATTGTTAATGATAAGATGATGATGTTATGGTATGTCCATACTTTATCAAGTTATCTATTTCTATCAAACAAGTGATTAGTCGTATGTCTTTGAGAAAAATCACTTAATCTTGATTTTCTATAGTAATATGTTAAACTAGATGATGAGCTACAGCTTTCAACTTATTATTTTTTTTTTTTTTTGGAGAGGTTTTTGCTATAGGGCGTGTGTGCTCGCCAGACAGACAGAGACATAGAGATAGAAAGAGAGAAATCACCCCCCAGGGGGGATGGCCACGCCGCAATCCCTTCTCCTCCATTCTCCTCTCAGGATCTTGGGCACGCACGCACACACTCCCAGCTTGAGTTTTAAGCCACTGGGTCTGGGATGGCGAACCGCAGTCGACTACATGGGAGTCCAACGACATAGCCATTACGCTAACTGCTGGTCCCCAGCTTTCAACTTCTAGCCTTAAAATTATGTTTATACATCTGGGCTATTTATAAAGATACAATTTACTACTACTGCTTGAGAGAAAGTAACACTTCTATTCCTTATCTCTTTCAGATTGAAGATATCATCACAAAGATGCAAGATGATAAGACGGGGGGTGTGCCCATCAGAACAGTCAAGAGTTTTCTCTCCAAAATCCCCAGTGTTGTCACAGGTAAGGTCCTCTATACAAAGTCCTGGTGACAATCAGAACTGGCTACAAAGAGTTATGTTGTCTCGATTGTAACCTTGTGTGGGGATGGAGGGGAGCTGTCTAAGTATCTGTGAATAGTGGAAGGGAAATGTTCAACGTGTTTCTTAACTCAAGTGCCATCCTGGCCTTGGTTTCTAGGAAGAAGCCACTTTTACCAGTCATTAAGAATAGCCTTACCATGACCAACCCTTCAAGTGTATATAGGTTGAGGCCTCTGGGAATAAACAAGTCCATTAATTAACTGACCTATCAGCAGTTTGGCCTGTAGCAAATGCACAAGTACAGAAATATTTTAAAAATTAAGTTAAAAGTTTGGGTTTTTTTTTAAGAAAGTGTGTGTTCAAATTAAATGAACCATTTTTAAATTTTTTAACTCATTGTATTTGAACCCCTGAAGAAGTGGTTTTAATTTTTTTTTCTGCATCTTTTAGTGTTTAATGTACTCCAACATTTAAAAAATGTTGACAAAATATACCAAACACATGGTTATAGTTTCAAGAATAATACTACCCGTCACATGTACCTACCATCCTACCTTATCAATAATTCATTATCAGTATCTTAGAGTTCCCTTATAAACCTACTGAATCACATCTACCTCCCAACCACTGTCTATTTTTATGCTAATCATTTCATTGTTTTTCTTCAGTTTTATTACATAGGTAGTATGAAGTATGCCTTGGAGTCCAAACAAATAGCCAAATAAATTATAAAACTTTAGAAGATTCTCCCATTCTTAAAATTGGGCTATATGCTTTCCAAAATTTGGGAACCAAAAGGACTTAGTTTCCACTATACACTTATTATAATGGCTAAAATTTTAAAAATAATAAAAAATTAAACAAATGTTGGTGAGGATGTGGATCAACTAGAATTTTCACATAGTGCTGATGCGAATGTGAAATGGTGCAGCTAATTTGGAAAGCAGTTCAGTAGTTTCCTGTAAAATCAAACATATGCTTACCATATGACCCAACAATCCCACTCCTAGGTATTTACTCAGGAGAAATGGAAACTCGTGTTTACACAAAAACTTGTACATAAGTGTTTATAGCAATTTTGTTCATAATCTCCAAAGACTAGAAATAAGAACACACACTATTTGGGGGTAGATCAGATACAGGCTCTTCTGTGAAAGAAAAAAGGAATCAATAATGATTAGATTAATGGCTTGAGCTAGAAAAAATGAAGTTACCATTAATTCCAATGGGGGACTACATGAGAGGAGCTGGAAGGTTGTTGGTTTATTTAGCTAAAAGATCATTTTAAGACAGGTTAAGTTTTAGGGTCATCTTAGACATTCAATTGGAGGTGACAAGTAGGTGTTTAGATATGCAGAATTAGATTTGAAGGGAGTATCTGACCTGGGGATGTAAGCAGTCAGCAGCTAGGTGGTGTTTCAAGCCACAGGGTTAAGAGCTCACCAAAGAAGAAAATATAGACAGAACATGCAGTCCACGTCCTAAAACTTGAGATATTTCGATCTACAGAGGTCAGGAAGAAAAGGAAAAAGCAGTAAAAGAAATAGCTAGAAACAAGGAGGAAAGTCTGGACCATATTTTTGGGGGAAGCCAAAATTTCTGGAAAGCATTTCAAGAAAGAATGGAGTGATCTACTATGTCAGACAGTACTGATAACCCAAGCATGCTAAGAGTAGAGAATTGGCCATAGAGTTTAGGAATACTGAATTCATTGCTGACCTTAATGAGTGTATATTCTGTCATATATTGGGAAGAAAAACTCTTACTGGAGTGGGTTCAAGTCAGAATGGAAGGGGAATAATTTTAGGTAGTAAGTATAATTAGTCTTTGAAGTTTTCCCATAAAAAAGAAGTGAGGGGCCAGCAGGTGGCGTGGGGTTGAGGTGATGGACCACGTGGCTGACCATGGTTTGAATCGCAAACCCGGTGGCTTGAAACTCACCCTGGGTAAATGTGCATGTCCAAAATCCCAAGAGAAAAATGGAGGAAAAGGGATAACGGTGTGGACATCCTCTGGGCAGTGATTTCTCACTTTCTCTATCTCTGTCTCTCTAGTGAGTACACACACCCTATAACAAAAATCTCTCTGAAAAGAAAAAAAGAAAGAAAGAAAAAGAAATTCAGAGTCAGGAGGTGGCATGGTGATTAAGGCACTGGATCCCATATGGGTAGCTGCACGGTTTAAGTCCCAGATCCAGTGAATTGAAAATCATGCTGGCACATACACATGTGTGCCCAAAATCCTGAGAGGAGAATGGAGAAAGGATTGTGTATGACTATTCCCCTAGGGGGTGATTTCTCTCTCTCTCTCTCTCTCTCTCTCTCTCACTCTCTCTCTCTCTCTCGCTCTCGCTCTCTCTTTTTCTCTTTTCTCTTTCTCTCTCTCTGATGAGAAAGAGTGTCACTGAGCAAGAACTACAAAAATAAAAAAGGGAGGGGGGACAAGCAGTTGGCATAATGGCTGTGTCACTGGGACTCCCATGTAGATGTCCGCAGTTTGAGTGCTGGACCCAGTGACTTAAACTCACACATGCCCATGTGTGCCCAAAATCCTGAGAGGAGAATGGAGGAAAAGGGATTGCAGCGTGGCCATCCCCCTTGGGGGTGATTTCTTGCTTTCTGTCTCTGTCTCTCTGTCTTTCTGGTGAGCGCATGCGCCCTATTGCCAAAACCTCTCAAAAAAAAAAAAAACCCCACGCCAAAAAACCCCAAAAAAAAAAAAAAAAAAAAAAAGGCAGTAGTATCTATAACACTAAATTAGATCGGGACATGAAGGTTTGAAAATAATGTAAGGATGATAATATGTTTATATAATGGCAACTGTGACTCAAAAAAGACAGGGAAATGGCGCAGGAGAAAGTGTGTGATATTAATGAATAAGTCAGAGGGGATCGAATCTAATGTGCAGATAGGTAGTTGCTTTAGCTAGAAACATGTACAGTTTATTCATAGGAAGAGAAAGGGAGAAATAAATGATGCACAGACATGCAGTTAAGTGAGGAGATACAATGGGAGGTGTGGGAATTTGTAGAAGTTCTCTTTTAATTGTCTGTTTTCTTAATGATGACAAAGGGGGATGTTGAAGATGTGAGGAGAAACTAGAAGCTATGAAAAATCAATTTGGAGAGTAAAGAAATTGATTGAACTAGAGAAATAGAATTTCAATGTCTAGGTAGCATTAAGGACTTTCTTGGGAGTATTAATGTTTATGAATTTAAAGAGAGAATTCTTGCTCCAGCCACATTTAGCTCTGTGGTTTCGGACATGTATTAGGTTAAAAAAAAATGTACTTAATTAAGGCTATAGTGAGTTTGGGCAAGAGAATAACTAAAATTATTGACCATTACATTTTGACAGTGAGGAGGGAAGTAGAAGATGAGATGGATGAGGATCAGTGAAGAGTAGTGATGACAAGATTGTAAGTGCTGTGACAAAGGAATTTTGAAATCGGAGACAAAGGAAAGAGAGCTAAAACAGGTGATGGTGGTTGGATAGTGAAATATTTGGAATGGAGATTATGGAGTGGTTTCAACTCTTGGTGGTGGCAGGATCTAAGGGATGACTTCGCAAATGTGACTGAGATAGGATGGAAGGCAAGATCACTGGAAGAAAGGTGGTCAAGGAACTGCGAAGCCATGCTGTTAGAAGATTGACCTTTATGGAAAATGAAGTCACTAGAGGGGAAGTGTTAAGAGGTGCTTGTGATTTAAAATCTTTGTGGAATGAGAGGCAGAGACCCCGGGATCAGTAGATGACTCTTACAACAAGGGGCCTAGGTGGTTTAATCAGATGTCATGAGAATCAAAGCTAAGTGGTTTGTTTGTTTGCTGCTTTAATGGGCGAGAAAGGGAATGAAGATATTCTGAAAGAAGCCTTGAGAATCAAGATCATTTGCCTTAAAACCCCAGGGTATATAGCTCATGAGGAGAAATAATTCTCACCTGAAGAAGTCTGCAAAGCAGGGACCAGCAGTTAGCGTAATGGCTATGTCGCTGGACTCCCATGTATTCGAACGTGGTTCGCATCCCGGACCCGGTGGCTTAAAACTCACGCTGGGCGTGTGTGCATGCGTGACCAAGGTCCAAAGAGGAGAATGGAGGAGAAGGGTTTGCAGCATGGTCATCCCCCCTGGGGGGGTGATTTCTCGCTTTCTGTCTCTTTGTCTCTTTGTCTGTCTGGTGAGTGCACGCGCTCTATAGCAAAAACCTCCCCCCACCACCAAAAAAAAAAAAAGAAGAAGTCTGCAAAACAGTGGGGTCACTGGGGTGGACAAAAAAATGAGGTAAATATTACCTGATTTTACTTATTATTGACCATGAGTTCCAGAGGGTCATTGAAAGGGTTTTAGGAAATGGTAAGTATGTGCCCTGGGTAATAAATGTGCACAGTTCCTTTGTTCCAGGCATTAGAGTAGTCACAGACATAGAAAGATAAACGAGAACCTGACTTCTTTCTTCAAAAGCTATTAATCTGCTGAGAGAAGCAGACACAGGGAAACCAATCATTGTATGAGCTATGTGCTTCAATAGAAGAATGGACAAAGTACCATTTAAGCCCAGAGAACAGAATCATGAGTTTTTCTTGAGTATGTCTAGAACATTTTTCTGAGAACGTGTATCAGCTGTCTAGTGCACATAACAAACCACCACAAATAGTCATGGCTTAAAACTATAATGACTTTTTATTTGTCATCATCTGATTCCATGAATAGGCAATCTAGGAAGTTCTGGGGCTGGTCTCACCCATGAAGTCATAATCCTCTGATGGTTCAACTGCAGCTAGGGTGTGTATTATGACTTTACTCATTCACTTGGCAGTGGTGCTTACATTTAGCCGGGTCTCAGTTCTCTTCCATATCACTCTGAATCCTCTAGTAGGTTAGACTTGGCTTCTTCATAATCTGTTGATTTCAGGATTCCAAGAGGGAAAGGGTAAAAATGGCAAGGCATTTTAAGACCTAGGCTCCAGAACTCATGCAACA